GCTGATGCGATCTTATTTGCTGGGAAATGAGTCAGTATCAGTGATTTAGCAGACTCCCTACTAACAGACTGATTTTTAGAGGATGTATAGTGTTATGTGTCACACAGTGTGACACAGCTGGTCAGATCTGTGGTGTTTAGAAACAGGAACAGAGAAGAGAAATGGAAAAGATGCGGATGACAGTAAACAATAAAGCTAGCACCACAGGACAGAAAGCCAACGTAGATAATTAGCCACTAATGACAACATTTGTCTAATAAAACGACTCTGTCGGACTCTGGCTATGGTTTGGGCCTGAGTGTTTGTTAGTAGGAAACATAAATCAGGACACAAGTGTCGCCTATAGCCGTGAGTCCAGCTGTCAGCCAGCTAACAGCTACTGTTACCTGTCCCCGCTGCGTGCTGATGGTGGTCGCCATGTCGTCCCCCTGAGGATCTGTATTAAATCTCTCTGTAGAGACGTGACGCTTCTTTAAACAATAAGGCAGCCTTTAGTGACTCATTAAAATAACCGAGCCTCTATGTTTGGTTTATAATTGACACCGGAAGTGTCCCGCCTTGAGAGTAATTGAGAAATACTGCCCCCTAGTGTCCGGAGGTTCAACATCAGTGGTTGAAGCAAGAGAGGAATAAATACCGAACTTTTCCAAACTTTTTCTTTTTTTAATTTAAAGTAAACGAAAAATGCTACACTCATGAGAATTCAAAGTGGAATAAAGGAGAAAGCCACCAAGAGCATGAACAAATGAAAGCAAATGTAATGATTTAAACCTTAGTCAGTTAAAAAACATGCTGCTGTTATTTTGCACATCGCTGATGTTGCTGCTATTTTCAAATATCCATAACTTTAAAAATGTCCATAGCTCGATATTGGTTATTTATTCTCCAGGTGAACAGTTTTATATTGTTAAAACACTTTACAGTACAGGATATTATTGTGTATCCTTTAACTCTTCACTATTATGTTATTCATTTTTATACATTTTTCTAAGGTCCACAGTTGTGTGACCATTTTTTTTCAATTATCTTTTTGCTGCTGTAAATTTCGCCATTGTGGGACAGTAAAGAGGTTTTCTATTCCATTCTTTTCTATTCTATTCTATTCTATTCTATTCTATTCTATGAAAGGCTTAGAAAGATATAAGTAAATCCAAACAATGTATGTATAAAAAATACATCTGCAACAACTCTTATGTTCAACAACAACAAATAATTAGTTGAGCAAATTGTGCAAAATAGCAATAAAAAAATACGAATCCTACCAGATTTATAGTTCCCACACTGCAGATATATTAAAATCTGTCCTTAAATTACAGCCAAACCCATTTACACAGTAACAGATAAAAACCTTTAGATAAATCAAACATTACCGCCACATATCTGACTCAATAACCATTAAAACAACTATTTTCATTTATTTCAGACGGAACTATTGACAGAACTTGTATCATATTAAGCTAAACTTCCAATATTAACCACTGTTGGGGGTCAAGTACCTTTTTCCTCTGATGACGGAATAGCCGGCTTGCTTTGACTCACAATGAATCCTGGGATATCCCAGGACAGAGAGGATACACCGGACCCATCCTTCAAATCGGGCAAAAAGAAGCCTGGAGGAGGCCCTGAGGGTCAGAGGGCTTATGACTGAGGCACTCCCTCAGGCTCCATCCCATGAGCAGGCCTCTACAGTGAAAGGGAGAGCAGGAGGATGATTCTCCACCCGCAGCAAAGAGGCAGAAGAAAAGCCAGAGGCCAGTGGCACCTGAGTCTTCCTCCTCTGACTCAACTGCCAGTAATCTGCAGGTGTCATACCAGGAGTGTGGCGCCTCTTTGTCCTCCTCTGAGTCAGAGATTG